TATTGTATTTCAGGAAAAAAATAAAGGTGAACACTGTGGTTGTTGTTAGGATTTATTTTTATTTACCACTGAGCAAAGGAAACCAAGGTTATATGCCTTATTTATGCACACAAAGTTAGCAAAAGGGTTCTGATTTTGATTGGTAAAACTTGACTATTCTGCATTCGATCAGATTCTATTGTTATTCCAATTCACTTCACTTTGTTTTTTGGTAAATTATCAAACATTAAGCACAGAAAACAGTCAAAGAAACAATAAACAAACAAACCCACAATTTACCAAAAAAAAGAAAGGAATAGGCAAAGCTTTTTCTTGCATACCCTGTTTTATACTTTCAACCTTTACAACCTACCAGGTTCTTTACAGTACATACGTATATCAATATTCAAATTTACATAATAACATAGGATTTTATAATTTTACATTTTAAAATTCACCAAGAAATGACATAACTTAAAACCAGCATTCAATTCATTCCACAGTTTCACACCAACTGGCTCTTCCTCTTTGCACATTCAAATATACACAAACCTCACAAATTATATTTATTCTCTCTTAACTTTAATTATTTTTGAATACCAGAAGGAAGACTTTTGTTCACTGTTTTATACATTATTTGCAGTATTTTAATATAAAGAATATCTCTGAATTTTAATGTGTTACTTTGAATGAAGCGTTTATCCGTTGGTTCACAGTATCTCACCTTATAATAAGCCTTATAGCTTTTTTTTGCATCTTAACTAACCCATCAATAATTGTTTTACTTGTGTTTCTCCATACTTTTGAACAATAAGACAAGACATGTTACGTAAAATTCACTGTGAATAGTTTTTTTTGACCCATCTAAAGGTACAAACTTTGAATAATCTTAACAATATGGAAATATAATCATAAATTGTAAGGTATGAAATATCAAAGCTAAATTTGGTATATTTGAGCAGCAGTGCTCTTGCTGCCCATTTAAACACATCCGAATGAACATAAACATTAAATGTTTACTGAAGGCTGAAAACATTTACATGCATTTAGAAAAAAGTACCTGAGACACAATTTGCTTTTAAAAACAGTGTTGTTGCAGCGATTGACTAGCAAACCGCAGGTAGAAATAAACAAAGACCAGAAATTGGAAAAAGTTCCAGGTGGTTGTGGTTTAATAGTGAACAGTTATGTCTTAATGATATTTCACAGATCGCTGAACAATGTGAACACATCTCCTGTAATTACGCTCCTGGGGTGAAACTTCCAAGCCAGGAAGCAGCGATGATGGGGCAACATGCTACCAAAGCTTCACGGGAATTATTGAGCAAACTTCAGGTTGACTGATTCTGTGAAATGTTGCGGCCTATTTCAGTTGGCAATGATTAGAAAATTCTAAGAACTAGGTAATTTTTTGTGTTTATGAAAAATCCTTTCTGCACAGTTTCAGCGCAAATTAGCAAATTAGAAGACAAAGGGGTAAAAAAGGAATTCCTAGAGGAGCAAAGTTAGGAAACACAAGTTTAAGATTGATATCTGCTCCCTGATGGCTGAGTTAATTCAACCAACCAGCCTCAGAGAAGTCAGCTCCAACCTTTATGTTAAGGCTTTGCAATTTCAGGCTTTAATCTTCTCTCTACATTAGGAGGTAGGCAAAATACAAAGCTCAGTGTTATAAGGACACAAACCGACTTTGCTGCCACAGACCAGGGTGATCAGTTTCAGTTATGTTTTTCTTGATGTCTAGATGACAGTTTACATTCTGCGATTTTCACACCAGATGCATTTCCTGCTGCAACTGGGATTTGAACCTGTGTTGTTCGCACAAAACTATAGTAGAAGTTAATAAAAAATAATAATATTAATTCATTTTATTCAAAAGAGCTTTTTAGAACATTTTCAATTACAATTACGGACGGACTGATGGATGGATGGATGGATGGATGGATGGATGGATGGATGGATGGATGGATGGATGGATGGATGGATGGATGGATGGATGGATGGATGGAT